TTATTATTATTATTTTTTTACTACAAAACTCTGTTTTGACTTTAGACGTAGCTCATTTTGCTTAGGGATAATTGCAGCAGCAGTACCAAATATTTCATTTAATAGCAAACTTTGCACAAACCTTTAATTTGTGTCACACACGGTACCAAACCTTTCATTTTTGCTACCAACGGTACCAAATCTTTCAAAATGCTTGCAACTGAAGTCCAAATAGATGGTTTCTATTAGTTTGACTGTTAATTGATCAAATAATTAATTTTGACAATAATGTTGACTGATTTTAAAAGGTTAAACGATAATTTTACATTTTTTTAATGATAAAATAACTAAAATCAAATAATTAAAATTAAAAACGCATTCCACATTCTTCTCCACCCTCACCCTCACCCTCACCCTCACCCTCACCCAAAATCTGCAAATTTGGGTTTGGAACTTTGAGAATGCTTCAACAAGCTCGGGAATGGAGTCCACAGAACCGAATGTGCGCTCTGTTGTAATGGCAATGGCTCTAAGGAACTCTGCTTGTGCATTTAGCCCAAAACTTCATCTTGATGGACCATGTAATCAGAAACTCAAAACTCCATCCGAAACAATTCATCTTCTTCCCACTCCCCACACTTACCCCCACATTCCCTCACCCCAACCAAACGAACCAAAATCCACCCACTTCCACCATGTCGACGATCGCAATCCACCCACACATAGGCCACAGCAATCGTCACAACTGCCCTCGCAAACTAGCAGCAAGAAATGAACCTTATCAGAAATTTGCTTAGATGTTATATAAAAAATCCCTAAGCCTTTTTCAATCTCTTATTTCTTTTTTCTCTTCTTTGGTCAAGATAGTCTCTTCGGCGGACCATTTCAGCATGAAATTCATATTTTATCGATGAGCTTCATTTTTGATCTGTTGTTAAGTCCAAATCTCTAATCCGGCCTACGTAGATCTACATAGTTGGGCAACAGATTATTGACGCCATGGATTCGAAGATTCAAATAGGTTAATCTTCCAGATTTGCAGATTTAGAGTGGGTGGGGTGGAATATGTTTTTAATTTTAATTATTTGATTTTGATTATTTTATTATTAAAAATGTAAAATTACCATTTAAACATTTTTAAATCAATTAACATTATTGTCAAAATTAATTATTTGGTCAATTAATAGTCAAACTAATAGAAATCATCCACTAGGACTTTAATTACGGATATTTTGAAAAGTTTGGTACTTTTGGTGGTAAAAATGAAAGGTTTGGTACCATGGATGGCATAGATTAAAAGTTTTCATAAAATTTGTTACTAAATGAAATGTTTGGTACCGCTGTTGCAATTATCCCTTTTGCTTATGTTGCAATTTTCTAGAACCCACTATTAAAGATGCTTAAAGACCAACGTTTGAAAAGGCTGCGTACACAAAATTTCTCAAAGTTGGTTGGCATTCTATCAGAAATGTCCAATGAGCTAGTAACTTCCAACAACTCGACCAATGACGGAATGACCTTATTTTAATTGAGTACAAAATTGACATCGTCGTCAATTTTTAAGAAGGCTTTTTTGACTATAAAAATAGCACCAACCACCTATTGACTTCAAGAAAATAACTTCTATAAAGTTTCTCGATGTGAAATATATAATATATAATACGTAATTTATGAACAATATGAGTCTCAACCTTGAGTTGATTGGAGAAAAGATCCACATCAATAAGTTTTGTCTAAACCCCCTCTTGATTCCCATTATTTAAAATTTTAACGATTGGAATGGAATAGGTTTTTTTTTTAAATGTGTGATTAAAAAAAAAGAATTTTTTTTGAAATTACGTGTAATATTATTTTATTAAAGAATGTGTGATAGTTAAAAAACAAAATAAAACGAAGTGTTGAACTAATGAGCAATTGAAGAAGGAGAAGAAGATGATGATTAATGTATTACCTTAACAATTACAAAATATAGAGGCTGAATATATATTCAAATTTTGGAGTGATGAACAAGTAAAAAGAATATAATGTACACGTGAGAATCAATATGGTTACAACAACCAATGTGTAGTCCCAAGGTGCGCAATAGCAGCTCTCAGAATTGGCGTGAATATTACATCTACTGGAAGTTTCTGAGCCTCAAGTATATATTTTTTAACATCCTCCCTAAAGTTGGAGTTTATTCATTTACTCCAAGCTTGTCCTTAAGAAATAGAAATTTGGTTTGAGCAAGAGGTTTCATCAACAAATCTGCAATTTGGTCTGATGATGGAACATATTGTATTTTCAACTTTCCTTTAAGAACTTTATCCCTGATCAAATGTATATCTAATTTAATATATTTCGTTGGTGCATGGTAAACTAGATTAGAAGCTAAGACACTTGCACTAAGATTATCACATCAAAGGACATGGGATGAGAATGGCTGTAACTTGATTTCTTTAAGTAATGAATCAATCCAAGTTATTTCGACAGAAGCTTGTGCCAGAGCTCTGTACTCATAATCGGTGCTTCATCTTACCACTGCTTGTTGTCTCATTGAGGACCAGACCACTAACGTATCTCATGAATAGATACAATAACCAACTGTCGATCTTTTGTCATCGGGACATGAAGCCCAATCTGCATCAGCGAATCTAGTGATATCCATTATGTCACCTTTTTGTGTCCATAAACCTTGTTCAATCGTTCCTTTTAAGTATCTAAAAATCCTCATTGCCTTCCATTGCACATTTGAAGAAGTTTGTAGCAATTGACTCAACTTGTTCACCACAAAAGTTATATCAGGTTGTGTATGTCCCGGATATTGCAGTCCACCTATTGCACTTCTGTACAAGGAAGGGTCTACCTTTTTCTCACCTCATTCTTGGAAATGTACTTGCCTACTGTCATAGATGTTGCACAATGTTTAAGATGCTCAAAACTAAACCTTTTCAATAAATCCTTTATGTACTTAACCTGAGTGAGGTGTATTCCTAACTCACACCTTCTTACCTCAATTCCAAGAAACTGATGCAATTCATCCATACCATTTATTGCAAACTGTGTGTTTAGTCTGTCAATGAAGCTTTGCAACACATTGTAGTAATTACTATATCATCAACATACACCAAGGCGAAAATCACTTGCCTTTGATTCATATAAAAGAATAAGGAACTGTCTGCCTTGGACTTGATAAACTTCCACTCTAAAAGTATCTTTTTCAACCTTTCATATCAAACTCTGGGTGCTTGCTTGAGTCCATACAAGGCCTTTTCAAATCAGCATACAAAAGTGGGATTGGCTTTGTCAACAAACCCTTCTGTTAGTTCATATATACTATTTCATTTAGCTCTCCATTTAAGAAGGCATTGTTAATGTCAACATATCTAATACTCCAACCCTTCGAGACAAGAAGTGAAAGAATTATTCTTAGGGTAGATGCATTTATTACCGGACTAAAGGTTTCATGATGATCAACACCTGAAGTTTGTAGGAACCCTTTTGCAACAAGCCTAGTCTTCTACTTTAAAACTCTTCCTTCAATGTCTTGTTTAAGCCTGAATACCCACTTGTTTCCTATCACCTTTTGATTTCCCAATGGTAGCACTAATTTCCAAGTCTTGTTTCTTATTAAGGCTCTGTATTCATCCTCCATTGCTACTCCAATTTTTTTTTTGACAAGGCCTCAGGTACATCGTTCGATTCAACACTATTTAGATCAAATCTGTATTCCTGGTATTGAGTTGAGTACGCATTTGGTTTGAAAATACCAGCTTTACTTCTGGTAACCACGAGATACTTAACATTATGTCTTCTTAGCTCTGCATGACCTTGATTTGGCTTACCGATCATTTCAGTATACTCTATCTCATCATTTTTAGTTCTTTCTTGATTTCCTCTTTGAGTGTT